GGAGGAAGAGAAGGAGGAGGAGACGGAGGAGGAAGAGAAGGAGGAGGAGACGGAGGAGGAGAAGGAGGGAGGAGGAGGAAGAGGAGGAGGAGGGAAGGTAATCTCCAACCTTATTTCTTTTCCTTTTTTATTCGTTTCTTGGGGGTTTTGATTTATATATGTCAAACAGCGTGGTAGTATGCTCCGTATACTCCGTACTTTGGAGAAGCGCAGGTTGAGATGTCAAATTATCAGAAAAGTGATACGTAAGCTAGAGACCAATAAAGGATCCCACACGAACACAACGAGCAAATGATATTCATCAATAGCAATGGCAAAGGAAGGACGGTGACGGCGTTGCTGGGAAGACGGTAGTAGCATAGATGCCGTGGACTGATTTGATGATCCCAGTGCACTGGTTTCTGTTCCGTGTCTGGCTGGTTTTCTCGGATACAGCAATCAGTTGACTGTGTTCTGAGGTTCCAACTAGGCTGGAGGCTTTGCCGTTCTGTTGGAGTCACGTGGTATGGAGACATAGGGTAAGGTAATATGGTTGACATTGACTGGTTATACAATACAAAATTACGCAGGAGAATCACTATTCATAGAAGCGGTGGAGGAGGAGTTATGCGATCGTCCATAAATTCTCCGTTTCAGATACTTATACGCACCGTAGAAAGATGAAGAAAAACTTCTGGCTGTACCTAACTAACTGTATACCCATACGGGTGTATTGATTATTACTGTGCGCCCAGGTAGATATGTAACAAGGATACCATACCGTAACTTACAGCTTACCATACACATACGCACCTTGTTTTCTTCGGGCGCCGGCTTTGGTTTATTTTATTATTTTCATCCTCTGCTGATAACTTTCTCTTCAATTTCATTTCATCTATTTTCATCCATTTTCATCTATCTCTTTCATCTCTTTTCATCTTCTTCTTCTCCCCAACTTCATCCAACTCCATCTCTCCATCTCTCCATCATCTATCCCTCCATTCTCATCATCACTGTACTTTTGTCTTCCTGCCATCTAACTCATTTCTATCCGCTCTGCCTGCTCTTTTCATTTTCTACCCGTCTCTTTAAATCCTAGTTCATTTGTCTTCCCCCCCCAAACAAGGGCCCGCTATAACTGTATTTTGCACACTTGTCACTTCACCATGTCCCGAGGTGGAACTACCCTCTATGTCACTGGTTTTGGCCACGGCACTCGAGCTCGAGAACTAGCCTACGAATTCGAACGGTATGTCCCATTCGTCGATCCTCCCCTACCGATATCCTGCGGACGGTCCTCCCCCTTCTCCCGTTCGTCTTAACTCGGAAAATTCGTGATGCCGATCTCTCTGCTGCCCCCCCTCCCCCCCCCCCCCTCTCCCTCCTCCTCCCCCCCCTCCCCTCCCTCCTCCTCCCCACCCCACCCCCCCAACCCCCCTTGTTACCTGGTTCTGGCTCCCGACCGCTCGGCCTCTTCCGACGCTTTGTTCCTGAATCCTCCTGAATCCTCCACCACAATGAACCTTGGAATGGCTCCTCCCGAGACCTCAAAATATCATCTTTCCAAATCAGCCGTTTCCTAAATCCGTGTTTCCTCAATACATTTCTAAATCTCTATTCGTGGTAACTCGGGGTCAAACATATTATTGTGTAACGCGCTAACCAGCCCAATGAAGTTATGGCCGGCTTGTCCGTTGCGATATTCCAGCCCCCCGTACTGCTTCCAGTCGCCTGTAAGTTCCTTTCATTCCTCTTGAAACACCACGAGATCCCCATCGGAACCTGCTGACATCATGTACAGTTTCGCCTTTGTCGAGTATGAGAGTCGTCGCGACGCTGATGATGCATATCACGAGATGCACAACAAACGTATTGGCCGGGACGACCTTCTAAAAATTGAGGTTAGTGACCTCTGATCCCCAAAGATTTCCCCGTACCTCAAATATTTAACTTCTGAATAGTGGGCCCGTACTCCTCCATCTGCATCCTGGCGCTTTGATTCCGGTCGTGACCGCCGCCGTGACCGTTCTCCTCTTCGTCGCCCTCGCTCTCCATCACCCCGACGAGCCCGCGGAGAGTTCTCTCCTCGCAAGGATGAACGTCGCGACCGCGATTTTGAGAGACGAGACCGCGACCGCTCCCGGAGTCCGGAAGTGCGAGACCGCGAGCGGGACCGGGACCGCGAAATGAAGGATGAACGCGATAGACGTGAGGAAGATCGCGAAAATGGAACCAATAGTGATGATAGGAAAGGTATGAATCCGATGTAAAACAAAATTCTATGGGTTGATTGGATCAAACCCCTACTAACCATGTTCTCTAGTATCTCTG